CCCTCCTCCCCTCTCCTCCCTTCCCCTCCTCTGGACTTCCCTTTTCTCTATTTGCCCTCCTCTCCTCCTCCCCTCTCATCCCTCCTCCCCTCTCCTCCCTTCCCCTCCTCTGGACTTCCCTTTTCTCTGTTTGCCCTCCTCTCCTCTGTGTCTTAATATTTTGTTTCAGAAAGGCTCTGGTAGTTCAAGGCATCACACCCAAATCAAATGACACAGAGAGGAAGGGAAAGCCCTTTGGTCTTTTCCTTCATTTTGTTTTAAAAACAAGGACAACACTGGGCGGTGGTAGCACACGAGCCAAGTGGTGGTGCATGCCTTTAATCCCAGCACTGAGGAGGCAGAGGCAGGTGGATCTCTGTGAGTTTGAGGCCAACCTGGTCTACAAGAGTTAGTTCCAGAACAGGCTCCAAAGCTACAGAGAAATCCTGTCTCGAAAATCAACCAACAACAACAAAAAACCCACAAACAAACAAAAACAACCCAGCAAAGGGACTTAGTCTGCTACACTTGGATCTGAGACGATCAGGGCTCCGGCCAGGTGTCTAGGTTGTCACACTGTAGAATCAAAGCTGAATGGAAGGGGTCCCAGGAGTCAGTGTTAGGAGGTTTTGTCCAAGCTCTCCAAGTTCCATCTGGAATGCTTGCTGCTTTCCATATCAGGATAGATTCTTTTTAGCTGGTTTACCCAGAAGTTTTCATCCCAGGACAGGGTTAGCCCTGCCTAGCGTGGCTTTCTAGGAAGGAACGAGTTTCTGCTATGAGTGGGATCAGACAGGAGCTTCTCATTGCCTCCCCTTCGGCAGCTGAGAATTTGCGAAGGTCCCTGTTTGATCCTCTCCTATCCACACGGCCGAGCAGACCAGCCCTCTCTTGACCTCTGTTCAGGCGAAACTCTGGGCTAGGTGGAGCCTGTGCTATGGTGCAGCTGTGCGTGTGGCCCCTCAACTTACGTGTTCCTCTTTCCTCATGCTCCTTCCTTCCCTTCATCTCTGAGTTTTTTTCCTTTGTGTCCTCAGATCCTGCAGGCCCTAGGGAAGTCCTATCACCCTGGCTGTTTCCGCTGTGTCATCTGTAATGAGTGTCTGGATGGGGTGCCTTTCACCGTGGACTCCGAGAACAAGATCTACTGTGTCCGGGATTACCACAAGTAAGGAAAGAGGAAGGGAGTAGATGGCAACCTTACACAGGCCCCACTGAGCTCAGCAGAATGGAAGGTTGTAGGAACTCTTTAAAAGTTTGTTTGGTGATAAAGCAGAACACAAAACTGTAATCAGAGGAATCCAGCAAGCCCATGACTCCAGCTTTGCCCAATTTCCCCAGGCACCAAGTCAGGCTTAGCTCCTACCACTCTGCTTATTCGACCATCCCAGCTGTGACGGGAGCAAACAGCCAGCTTCATCTTTATTCTTAGGGGAGCAGGAAGCAGCCAGATGGTCTTGTAGCAGCCAGGAATAATGTTCATATTCCAAAAAGTGAGCCCAGGGCCACATAACCCTGAGTGCTAGCCATGGAGGGCCCTGGCAGGCCCTTGTTGGCATTCATACTCTGATAACAAGTGTGTACTGTGTTCCTTCTTTTTCTCCTGCAGGGTGCTGGCCCCAAAGTGCGCAGCCTGTGGGCTTCCCATCCTTCCACCAGAGGTGAGATGCTTTTCTATATCTGCTCCTAGGTCTTCTTGACTCACTCAGAAGACCTGTAACCTGTTCTTACACCTTTCAGGGTAACCCTCCAGTGCCCAGTACTACCCCTTTGTTTTGCACTGGCTTCCTAGCTCCGTGTGCTTCTTGTGCCTGTTTGTCCCAAGAACCAGGCCAAACTCTTAGATTAGAGCAAGAGAATACTTGTCTTTTATTCACCTTTTAAAAATAAATATCCCTGAAACCGTGTCTCAGTGAGTAAAATAGAGAATGGAGGAGGAAGACACCAAACATAAGCCTCTGACTTTTACATGCATGTGCACACCTGTGTGTGCCTGTGCACATGCAGTCATGTATAGACACACATGCAAAAAAAAAACAAAAGAAAAGAAAAAGATACGTCGCCATTGGTGTTTCTTTGGGTAGTGTCTCTGACACTGCCCCGGCCCTACTCTCCCATCGACTGAATCTGGTCTTTTCCTATAAGTGTTTAGTATTCACTCTTGATTTATATCCCTCCCCAAAGGCCTTCTCTATTATCCCACCATCTCTTCTACCCTTTCCTATTGCTGGTGGTAATCCATGGAATTCTAACTGGCCTCTTTGCATGTCTTGCTTTTCTTTTGTCCCAGGGCTCAGATGAGACCATCCGTGTTGTGTCCATGGACAGAGACTACCACGTGGAGTGCTACCACTGTGAGGTAGGCCCCCCATCTCCATCCCCAGAGCCTACCTTTAAAGGCCTCCTGTGTCATGGGACTATGTGGTCACCAAATCTGAGGTCTGTTCTCCAGGAGCTGATTTATGGGGGTAATAACAGATGTTTTGGGTGGAGGTCTATGTCATTTTCTGCAAATTCAAAACTAGAAAGTTCTGAAGCTTGCAGTTGTCATCCCTGAAGCTATAGAACTCGGAATTTTGTGTAGTGTGGGGCTCAGAGTCAGACCGTCACTTAGGGGTATAATGAGGGTGGTGAGGGTGGGGGAGATGATCTTCCATCCTGGGTACCGAAGGCTCTGTCTGTCAGAAGCTTCTGTCTGAACCGAGCCTTGGAAATCCAGGAGATTATACCCAAGGTGGGTATAAAGGTGTGGGGGGGGGGGCTGCTGTCTGTGCCCCGTGTGATATCCGTAGGTGCTGCATGACTGCAAGAAAAGCTAGAGGTCACTGCACCAGCTCCAGCCACACCGAGTGGATTCATCCTTACAATTAGACTCCATTCACTTGTGGTCTTGTAGGTCGGGAGAGCAGCGAGTATTGGTAGCATGTGGATGGGTCTTACTGCTAGCAGTGAAGAAGCAGATGGGCTCACGCTGGTGGTACATCATGAGTCTGGAGAAGACAGTGAAGACTTAACAATCTTCTCTGCACGTTCATGACCCTGGTTGACCATTAGAAATACAAGTGCCTCACCCAGCGGCGATGGCAGAGGCAGGCAAATCTCTTGAGGCCAAGGCCAGCCTGGTCTACAGAGCAAGTTCCAGGATGGCCAAGGCTGCAAAGAGAAAACTTGTCTCAAAAAATCAAAACAACAACAAAAAATATGAGTGCCACAATTGAAATTATGTGTGTCTCTTCCTTTTCTAGCCATAGTTGAATAGTTGGAAGAAACAGGTTGGGGATGCTGGTGATGTGGTTCTATTGGTAGAGTGCTTGCCTACCATGGGTTCAGAATGAAGCATTTCAAAAACTAGGAGTGGTTGTTCATACCTGTAACTCCATCACTTAGGATGCTGGGACGGGAGGATCTAAAGTTCAAGGTCTTCCTTGACTACAGATGACACAGCAAGCCTGGACTACATGAGACACTATTAACTCAACAGAGGGGGGAGTGTGGGATTAGTTAACCAACCCATAAGATGCACGATGTTATTATTTCAACCTGTAGTCCATATAAAAACTATAAGATATTTTTCAGTCTTTGTTGTGTCTTCTGCCTTGGAAGCCTGGTATGTATTTGTTGTGAAGCCACATCTTAGTTCCAGTCAGTCCACTAGATGGCAGCACTGGATGGCCGCTGCCCACAGCTGTGAAGCATCCTTTGCTGAGTTGGTGGGCTGTGGTTTCGTGTTACCCTTGCAGTCTGTTTTCCTCTCATGACATTCTTGCCTCCTTGCAGGACTGTGGTCTAGAGCTCAATGATGAGGATGGACACCGCTGCTACCCGCTGGAGGACCGCCTGTTCTGTCACTCCTGCCATGTCAAGAGGCTGGAGAAAGGACCCTCACCTGCGGCTGTCCACCAGCACCACTTCTAGCCAGAGACACAGTGGGGATGCAGGGCCAGGGCTGCCCAGGGAGGGACAGGGGTCGAGTTCCTGTGTGTGTGAAGGGTACCTTTCTTTCAACCACAGCAGTGTGCACTCCCCATCAAGTCTGTGTGTTTTCCCAGTGCTTCTCCCCGTTGCTGTACCCTCACTAAACCACTCAGGAAGATGCTCTGCTTGCACGAGGCATATGACACAAGGCTGTGCCCGTGTAAACTGGACACATCCTACTCCCTGGAAATGGTTCGTGTTTCCTGGGGACAGGCTTTGGATTGAGCACATTTCACAGTGTTGCTAGAGAGGCAGTGATGGGATGAGCAGCTTTGTATCCTTGGAGTTAGCTTGGTAAACCAGAGCCAAGCTTTGACATCCGGGAGGCTGGGTCTCCCCGGTGTGCCTCTGCCTTTCCTCCTACTTCTTAGGCAGCTGAGCTGTGGCAGAAGCCTGCCCTGTCTCACACAGCCAGCTCTGGGAGAACTGGTGCAGGCACCAGCCCCCTGGACACTTCTTGGTGCTGTGTTTACTTCCTCTAGTCTGACATTGCAGTTGCTGTCTTGAGGTGAGCCTCAGCCTCTCATGAGCCCCATATCCTGGAAGAGAGCTCCTTTTGAAAGGAGGGTTTCGTGTGAGTTCTCAAAGCTAGCACCAGAGGAAGGGAGTGCCTGAGGATGTTCCTGAGCTTGTTTCAGGGTTCTCTCTCCTGCCCACTTCTCAGCACCTTCATACGGTTTGAAGAAACCAATATAAGGTACACTGCTTTTTACTGTTTTTTCCCCCTTCATTATTTCTCTCCACATTTTTTTTCCACACACAAAACATACCTCACAGATAGTTTTCACTAAATCATGGATCTAGGTGGAATCCGCCCATCATATTGGAGACTGTTGGTGTATCAGCAGTGGCTGATTTCCACTCTTTATTGCAGCTAAGCAGTATAGTTGCAAAGCAAGGCCTTTCAAGACTAGATGCAGCTGAAATCAGCATGCTGGCTCCTGGGGTAGCCGCGCGAAGAGGGAGACCACACACTGACAAAATGTTAAGACCACTTCTAGGCTGGATGTGTGGGCGCCTGTCCTTCCGCCATTTGGGAGACTGGTTTGTAAAGCAGGAGTTCAAGACTATCCTCAACACCGGAGGCCCTGGCCCCGCTCAAAAAACTTTAAAGAGAAAAAATAAAAATCCACCCAGCACTAAAGAACATTATTAACCCTGCCTATCACTTCCTGCGGCCAGAGGTCAGTTCAAATGGGAGAAACTGGAAAACCACAAACAAAATGGTTTTCCAGTTGTCCTTGTATCTTCACGGAGTGCCCCACAACTCGTGGCAGGAAGGGCTGCAGTATCTCACATCTGCCCGTCAGGCTGGGCACCCAGCAGCTGGCGTGGGTGATGAAGCACGGCCAGTGGAGCCCCGCCATGGGTGAATGTGGACTCTTGACTGGGCCCCAGCTCTACACGTAGGCTGTTTCGATCCTGCTGGCCTCCGTTGCCTGTGAGAAGTTCAAAACTGGCGTGGGCGACCAGGACAATCTTTATTTTTTTTTTATAAGGTTCATTCTGTTGGTATCTTTTAGCCAGATGTTACTTCCTTGTTTCCTGTTCTAGAAATACCCCCTTTAAAACAAACAAACAACAACAAAATTAGGAATATATGGGGCTAAGGAGATAGACCCTGAAGCCAGGCCCCTTTCTTCCCTTCAACTTATCTAGTTTGTCTTTGGCAAAGCTGGCAGGGAAAGGAAATGAGCCAGTATATCTTTGCCATCCTTGAGGTGCTGGTTTTGAGTCAACATGATTGAGGAAAATTTCATTGGAATCAATGTCAGAAGTATAGGGTGTTTGTTGTCAAATTGAATAATCAGTTTAAAACTCTGTGATTGATTTTTTAAATGAAATTCCTGATTGAGGTGATACAGATGTATTTGCAAACACATTTTATATTATTGAAAAAGAACAATAAAGGAATTTGCAGACTTTCTAGAAGCCCTAGGATTGTTTTCTCCAGGGGTCTTTTCTTCGTTGTTTTCTCCATCTCGGGACAGGAAGAGACGTCCACTTATCTGGGATTTAAAATGTACTGTAAATTTTGGCCACATAGAGCTGTAGGGAGATTATACTTATAAGCATGTAGGAAGAAAACACAGGAACTTGGGATACTCTGGCTTGAAAGTTAGAGAACTAGCTTTTTCAAGACTCCTGTACAATGCTTGTACTTTGGATAAAACTAAGGAGATGGAGATTGATCTCAGCCCCAGGTCTAGATTCTGCCCTCCCTTTTCTCATTCTGCCCTTAGGTTTCAGAAGAACCTTCAGCCCTGACTGACTTATTGGCTACCTGTTAACAGCATAACAGGGCTTTCCATTCTCCTGGCTAGTGCCTAAGTGAGCTTCCTCTCAGCTGAGTCCTGTGAGGATACAATGCTGAATCCAGGTGGCGGGCAGAAGGATCAAAACATTCAAAAGCATTCTGAACACCTTAAAATACTGCCACGGCGTGGTTTGCATGGCCTTCAGTCACACAAAATACAAAACAGGATTGTTGAGAAGATTCAGAATCTACAGTCCTTTGCATGTATTAGATACTGTTCTATAGTACCCTTTTCTCACTCAGTGAAAGTGCTGTCTACCAGATAGATTCCTTGCAAACAACACTGTTAGACTTCACTGCAAACTATGGTTGGTTGTACAATACATTTGTAAAAACCCTCAGGACTGAGCGGTGGCGGTATGCACCTTTAATCCCAGCACTCCGGAGGCAGAGGAAGGTGAATTTCTGTGAGTTTGAGGCCAGCCTGGTCTACAGAGTGAGTTCCAGGACAGCCAAGGCTACACAGAGAAACCCTGTCTCAACCAAAACAACAAAAACAACAAAACTATCTTAGGAGGAGAGATAACTCAGTAAAGTGTTTTCATGAAGAGTTGAGGCCAATTCTCATAATTTGTTTAAGAATGTCAGATGCAGTGGTGTTCTCTCGTAGTCCCAGTTCTGGGGAGACAATGACAAGCAGATATCTGGGGCTTGATGGCCTACTAGTCTAGCCCAGTTAGTGAGCCCCAGGCTGAAAGACCTTGCTTGAAAGGAGGTGGATACTGAGGTTGTCGTTTGGGTTCTACATGCATACAGACATACATAGCTGCACATACATGAAAACTGCCAGGGCTGGGAAGTGGTGGCTCACGCCTTTAATCCCAGCACTGGGGAGGCAGAGGCAGGTGGATCTCTAAGTTCGAGGCCAGCCTGGTGTACAGAGTGAGATCCAGGACGGGATCCAAACTACTCAGAGAAACCATGTCTTGAACCCCACTTCCCAAAAAAAGAAAAAAAAATCTTCCAGAAAATCAGTTTCTTTTCTTTCTTTCTTTCTTTCTTTCTTTCTTTCTTTCTTTCTTTCTTTCTTTCTTTTTGTATTTTTCTTGGCTAAGAATCAGTCCTAATTTTGTTTTCAGGTAGCCTCTGAAGTAACTTTGTAATGGAAAAAATTGTACTAAGTGATCCTTTGTTCCGTGTAAACAGGCACATGATGTGGGAGTGTCATATATCAATCTGTTGATTTCATTGGTTAAGTAATAAACCAACTGCTTGGCCTCATAGCTTAGAACATAGGTGGGTGGAATAAACAGAATAGGATGCTGGGCGGAAGAGGAAGTGAGGTCAGACTCTGCTCTGCTCCCGGAGAGACCCTACAGCTCAGCAGAGACGCCATGCTCAGCTCTCCTGGGTAGACTCGACAGCTCTGCTCTAGAGCAGAGACACCAGGATGGACATAGGCTAGACTCTTCCCGGTAAGCGCACCTTGGGGTGCTTACACACATCATTAGAAATGGGCTAGTCCAGGTGTGAGAATTGGCCTGTAAGGGCTAGAGTTCATGGGCCAAGCAGTTCTTTAAATGAATAGTTTGTGTGTTGTTATTTCGGGCTTGAGCTAACCAAGCGGCTGGGGTGTTGGGGGCGCAGCCCCGCCGCTTCATATTTCAACAGGCACAGATATGGCCAGTCTCGCCAGAATGTATGATGAACTTCTCACTGCAGAAGAGAAAATAAGGTGGACAGCAACTGACAAGACCACCTGAGGCTGATCGCTGACTTCACATGCATATGTACATATGTGCACAGGCACACCGAAAAATGCCTAATTCTGTATGAACTACTCTCCCGTCTTTCAGTCTCATTTCATGTTCACAAAGGCCTTAATTTATAATCCTAGCTGGTAAAGAAAGGCCAGACTTTGAGTCTGTACCTGTTAGAGAGGCTGAGCAGGAGCTCTGCAGGCCAGGGCAGTGGTTGATCAACTGGAAGGATTCTTTCTAAAGCCTTATGAAGCAGGATACAAACTAAATTCCCATTTTATTAAAAGAGAGGAAATGACCAGTGAGCCCAGAGCTGGTGAGTTGAGGGATAATCAGGGATGGAAATAAGGTGACATACTGAACAGCTGTGACCTCGGACCTCTGGGGGTTCACTCAGCTCTTGCTTAGCTGGCTTTGGAATCAAGAGCTCATGACCTTAAGTTTAGTTTCTTTTTCTGGAAAAATAGGGTAACACTGTAGGTGTCGACTTTGTTTGTTTGTTTGTTTTTCAAGGGTTTCTCTGTGTGACCCTGGCTGTCCTGGAACTGGGTTTGTAGACCAGGCTGGCCTTGAACTCACAGAGATCCACCTGTGTCTGCCTCCCTAGTTCTGGGGCTAAAGAGATGCGCCACCACCTCCTAAATAAAATGCTTAGAGAAACACTGAGTGATTGATCAGTTTGACAGGTTTTAAGACTGCAAGATTTAGTTACATCAAAATGATCAAGATAAAGTATAAGCAGATTATGGTAAAAGTAATACAAGCACAAAACAATTTAAAAAGGATCTATATATGAGTGAATATTATATGAGTGAAAAATTAAACAAGGATAAACTGGCAGAAAGACTGTACACAACAAAAGAGCTACTATACTTTTGCAGGGGACCCGAGTTCTGTCCCAAGCACCTGCCTTGGTGGATGTCATCCAGCCAGCTCCAGGCGGATCTCATATCTCTAGCCTTCTGGAGCGCTTGCACTCAAGTGCATGTGCACGCATACACATGTACACAAAGTGGAAATTAATATTTTTAGAGCTCAAGTTAGTGAGAAAAAAATTGAATACACCAAGAGAAAATAATCATCAGGCCAAGAAATAGAAATAAAAAGGGAGTAGAGTTTTTCACTTATAACTGCAAAGAAACTACAATTTATAACTATATTTGTATGTTAATGCCCTATTTATTTATCTATTTATAGACAGGGCCCCAAAATTAATACCCTTGTCTCTCCAATTGTAGTATTATAGGTATATGCTGCCATGTAAGACCTGAATATCTAATTTATATGTATGTAAAAATGTCTAATGTTTTTAGCATGTGTGGAAACATGCTGGCGACAGGAGGCATATTGCTTTAGTTCTTCCACAAAGCGATTTGAAAATATCTACCAAAAACCTAAATGCTTAGGAAATGGACTTTTAAAATGTCTACCTGGCTAACCCAAATAGAACATCTTAAAGCAAGAACATTTGAGTCAGGTGTGGGTGCATGGTTGTAATCTCAACATTTGGGAGCGTGTAGAATCTAGAGTTCCAATTCCATCTTCCATAGCCAGGTAAAGGCCTGCTGTCTTATATAAGACAACCCCCCAAACACACAAATGGAAGACATCCAAATCTTATCGTCCTTCCTCTTTCCTCCTCCTTTTTTTTTTTTTTGGGTGGGCGGAGATAGGTGGTGGAGGACATAGGGTTCTGTGTAACACCCCTGGCTGCCCTGGAACTAGCTCTGAACACTAGGCTGGCCTCAAATTCACAGAAATCCGCCTGCCTCTGCCTTCTCAGCATTGGGGTTAAAGGTGTTCGCTCCCACCGCCCAGCCAGTGTCATTTTATAAGTGTCAAAACTGGCAACAACTCATCTCCACGATAAAATTTATGCTTAAAATACCTAGTTTTCTTATGTAACATCTTCAAGGAATATTTAATGGTGACCTTAAATCACACACACACACACACACACACACACACACACACACACACACAAATTAAGGACAAACCAAAGCAAAAGCCACCATAAATTCATTATAAGCAAACAAAACCCCCACAATGTAGAAGCCGGGTTTGCTGTCTTGCTCTAGAAGCAGAGGCAGGCAGGTCTCATTTGAGTTCCGGACCAGTCTAGTCTACATCCAGGTCAGTCAGCGCTGCAAGAGTGAGTCACACCCCTTGTCCCGGCTCTATTTCTGTCCCCAACAATTTCCTGTATTTGGCACATTTTAAATAAACTCTTGGGGTGTTAGGTTATGCTATCTAGGACTTAATCATCGAATGACTAGTTAAATGAATAGGCTGCGCCCCTTTCGGTCACAACTATCTCTGGTCTCGCATAAAATGAATCGTCATGCGCTCGCTTTTCTGGGTCTCTTACTGTGAAGTCCCTGAAGTTTTAAGGTTTCCTTGTGGAATGGAGGCCGGGTTGTCTTTGCAGGCAGAACTAGCCAAGGCCGCCTGTAGAGTTCCCGGGTCCTCTGCCCCGCCATTGCGCTGCAGAGCCGAAGCAGCGCCTTTCTCGCGTCAGTGCCGCCTTGTGTTCCACCTGCAGGGAGCCTTCGGCCACGCACGTCCCTGATTGCGAACCTCCACTCTCAGGAGTGTTTTCTAAACTGTACTGGTTTACAGACTCCTGAGCAGCTTTAAGAACGGGGGCGCTAGGAAATTTGCAAACCGTTTTAGACAATCCTGGGTTTCAAATATGGCAAATAAAAAGAAGAAAAAAAGCAGTATTTTGTGTAGCATTAAAATTTAAGATACTTGACCTTGATACTCTAACTACGATCCTTTTTGAGGCGGCTTTGCTACATTCAACTATGTAGAGAGGGGGGGAAAAAAGGCACTTTACGAGCCAGCCAGGAGTCGAACCTAGAATCTTCTGATCCGTAGTCAGACGCGTTATCCATTGCGCCACTGGCCCAGTGCTGAAGGGCCTCTTTCCGCGATGGCTGATCTCCGATTACGCAGTTTCAACAGGCTTCCTGCCTGCAGTTCTCCCTTCTTGTCGGTTCGTTGAGCCGCTCTGCTCAGAGCAGCACAACCGGGACTCCGCCTCTCACCGCAGCGCGTTGCACCAATCTCCGGCGGCGACGTCACGACGTTCTTGCCTCGCTCCAATCCGTGCGTCGGAGGCGTGTCTCGGCGGTCCCGGCTGGCGCACTGGTTTGTCCGCCGCGGGCTTCCGTGCTCTCCCGAGAGGCGGTCCCGGGAGGGGGTGGGACCAGGCCGAGGCTCCTTGGGCTGCCGCACCTAGAGAGCGGCCGCGCCGGAGCCGTAACCGTATCCGAGGTGGTGTCGGGCCCCGCTGCGGGTGGAGAGAAGAGGAAGGAGGCGCTGGTGCACCATGGCGGCGGCGGCCTACGAGCAGCTGAAGCTGTGAGTCCGGTGGGCTGCGGGCTGACAGGAAAGGGCTGCGGGGCGAGCGGGCGCCGCGGCCCGCATTGGCCAGGCGAGCGGGCTCGGCTCTCTTCGTCCGGCACGGCCGCAGCGTAGGCCCGGTGTCCGGCAGCCTCGCCCGCCGCTGGGCCTACTGTGGTGAGCCGAGCCGGGGCCCGCAGCTCTAGCGGAGGCTGCGGTCGGTGTGGCTGCTCGGAGAGGCCTTATTGACTGGACCTCCGGGAGTGCTTTGGCGTCCGCCGCCGGAGCAGACCTTGGTTTCTGACTTTCCGGGCCTGGGAGCCTCTAGGACGAGACCTTCTTAGGGTGCAGCAGAAATTCAGTGAGTCGTCCGAAGGGCCAGACAAATTTACTGTGCTTTACAGTCTGCGTTGAGAGCTAGGGGCTTGCCTCTAGTTTGGCACAGTAAAACTGACTTTTTAGCAAAGCTAGGTGCTTGAGGTTTTGAGATCTAGCCGTTGGTTGTTTAGAGTTGCAGAAATAGACATAAGCTCTTTGGCTCGTCCTGTGTGTATGTGTTTGTGTTCTAAAGGAGGTGTTCCTCATGCTGTTACTCTCCGCACCTGCACTCTTTATTGGGCGAATATTTTCACCCTAATCGCTTTAATTATTTACCTCGAGATTGTTTGAAAGTCACGGACCATAGACTGGGAATGCCTTTAGTAGCAGAAACAAATACAACTTTTGGAAAGCTAAATTAGAATACCCTGTTACTTAGACATTGACATTCTAATTCGTTTGCAGAGAAACAAATGTAGTTTGGGTGCTCCTTATGAGTAACTAAAAAGTTCAGTATAAAGTTAGGTGTGCAGAATTAGGAGGGAGGCCATCTATTCAACGCCTTGTGTGTTTTGAAAAGAGGTGATAATTGGTTTTTTGGTTCACCCTTTGTCCCTCTTCCACTTGCTACAGTTCTCTTTGAAAACCCCAGCTGCACCCCCACCCTCCCCATTTCTTCTTTTAACCATTTCTCCTTTGCACAGTGAACAATCACCTCACTGGTGACAGTTGAAGCAAAGTGTATTTGGTCTGTGTTGGGCCGGAGTCGCATGAACGTTACTGGCAAATTAGGCTATTGTCCACCTGATAGTTGTTGAAAGGCTGAATATGATCCCATACTAGGTCTCAGGTGTGTTTAAGCTTGAAGCAGCTCCGCTTTAGGTTACAGGATGTTGTTGCGTTTTCCTGCAGCTAAAGACTGAGATGGATAACTTGAGAATTAGGAGAGTGATTTTTGAGTTGCCCAAGGCACTAAGTCTCCCCAGTTCAGACCTTAGTACAGGCAGACATCCTCTGTATACATGAAAGAGAAGGAAAATTTATCATTTAGTGGTGGGAACAATGGTTTTGCGTTGAAGTAGAAACTGAATTTGAGTTATGTATTGTATTGAAGTGGAAACTGAATCTGGGGCTAATGGAAGTCACTATCATTCTTTAGGTTTTGAATATTTCTATAAATGTGAAGATAGAACTTCGTTGCAAGTTTTTCTTGGGCAAAGGGTTTGTGAGTTAGAATCTGTTTTTACCCTTTCTTTGACCCTCCTACTTAACTTTTAAATATGGCCCTTGAACAAAGAATATACTGCTTTAGAGGTATTTGTAGGTTGAATTAGTTGCTTACCTATTTAAGAATTGGTAGGCCATAGTAGCCACTTTTAAAAAATGCCTACAGAGCCCTATGAAACGGTATATAACTTAACTAAATGTTGAAGTGTTTGAATATTAAATAATAACCTTTAGTACATTGCCATACATTTTCTTCAGTCCATCCCAGATATGTATTGTTCATCTTCTAATTCTCAGCTTAGAATTTTCACTTCCGTTTTATTGACCTACAAGATCAAGCACACATTTCTTACCCACCTAAATTCTAATTTCTTTATGATCTTTTAACTTTATCTCCTGTAAGTCATGCTAAAGTTTGCTACTCCTCTTCTAGCTTCATGTTGGGTGGTTTTGTTTTGTTTTTCGAGACAGGGTTTCTCTGTGTAGCTTTGGTGCCTGTCCTGGAACTAGCTCTGTAGACCAGGCTGGCCTCAAACTCACAGAGATCCACGTACCTCTGACTCCCGAGTGCTGAGATTAAAGACGTGTGCCACCGTTGCCTGGCTCATGTTGGGTTTATTTTGATCTTTCTGCCAGAGTGCTTTCTTCATCCCTCCTGTCTCCATGCTGGTCAGCCACATTTGTAGTGAAGAAGGGAGAACTCAGGAACAGACAATTAACTTCTTAAATG